GCAGAGATGGGGGGGGGAGATAGGTGGGTGGGGGGAGGTGGAGGCAGTCTCTTACCTTACTGAGGCTCGGGGCTGGGGGGGGCCAAGTCTTGAATGGCTTGGATTGGGGCGGGTCCTTGGCTAACAACTGGTAAAATTCGCTTAATGATGGCAATTGGGACTGCCGGGATTGCTGTTGTTAAGTGATGTGGTCATGTGACATCTCGCTTTATGACCTCATTGCTTAGTGACAGAAATTCCAATCCCAATTGTAGTTGTAAGTCAAGGACTACCTGTATTAGTGTTAGAAATATCACTTTGTCTGGATTAATGTATGTGTGTATGTGTGTGGCTGTTGGGGACTGCTAGGTGTTTCCATGCCTTGCATCTGCACCATAGGATTCCTTGATACATTCTTGTAATGTGATGTGAGAATAACCTTGAGGAACAGGAAGAAGAGCCCCAACCAAGGCAATGGTCAGGTAAGAGAAATCCGAGTCCAAAGCAGGAATATAATTTGAGAACGCACCTCAGACTTTACCCTTCCTAGTTCTCTGGAATGTAAAGGCTGGGAGGGGGGAAGCATATAGAGACTTGCAACATTCCATTACTGTAACCTTATAATAAAAGTAGTATTAGTACAGTGGTACCTCTACTTACGAACTTAATCCATTCCATGACTCTGATCGCAAATTGAGTTGGTCGCAAGTCGAGGTAAATTTTCCCATAAGGTTCAATGTAAATACGGTTAATCCGTTCTGGCGTCTGCGAACCACGTGTCAGGGGCGGAAAAGCACCCGCGCGCCGCGCGCCGGGGTGGCAAAATGCCCACGCGCCGCGCGTCAGGGGCGGAAAAGCGCCTGTGCGCTGCGTGGCAGGGCAGAAAAACGCCCACGGACCACGTGTCGGGCGGAAAAATGGCCGCAGACCATGTGTCAGGATGGAAAAATGGCCGCGGACCACGTGTCAGGGTGGAAAAATGGCCGTACCTCAAGGCGGAGTTCGCACATCAAGGTAAATTTTTGGGGCCGGAGCTGGTTGTATCTCGAAAATTTCGTAAGTAGGGGCGTTCGTAAGTAGAGGTACCACTGTATTCTTAATTTTGGTTTCTTCGTCTGGACTACCCTGAAGGGTTAACAATTCCAAAACATACGTTTCAAGCCAATATTGCCATCTTCTCAGAAGAATGGCAAAAGCCACTGAGCAGAAAGAGTGAAGGAATATTGATCACTCCCAGTGTCTGCTACCTGAGGTAACCACCTCACTCTGCTTACCTAGTGGTAGGGCTAGCCCTTATGACACCTTTTGCTTCCTCCTGTAGCACCATGCAGACCTCCTCTGAGTGGCTTCCTTACCTTGCAGAAGATGATTGTCAACTACTCAGTTCTTCTATCATTTCTGTCATTACAGATCTGTACTGTTATGACACATTTCCCAAAATATATCATCATATCTTTTAAAGTCATGAGAACCTTCAACTGTTCCATCATCATTCCATGCTTTGAACTTTTTGAACAGTATCTTTTAGTATGAACAAGGAGAAACCAGTTTCTCAAATAATATGAGAAAAATCAATGCGTACATTAGTATTATCAGCCCAAATCAATCCACTTGCAAGATGAAATTTATGGTCCATAATCTACCATGCTGATCCAGTACAGTTCGGTAGACAGATGTTTTTTTACTTCCCAGTCTAGGGCTGAGGCAGTGACTGGCCCAAAGTCACAGGTGGGTTCCAGGCCTAGGCAGGATTAAGACTTAAGTCTCCCTCCTCCTAGTCCACCGCATTGGCTTTCCAGTAATATATGCATTGATAAAAATTGTAAATGACTCAAGGCCACGTTCCTTTGTTATATTTCTCAGGTTTAATTGGAACCACTGGAGCAGGATAGGGAATTCACTCAGAAAAAAATAGTTCCCTAACACAGAAACCATTGTTTTGCGTGTCAGCACTCATTCTTATTTGAGAAGTGTAATTGTGGCTTGCAGAATTGGAGAATGAGTCAATCTATTCACCCAAAAGTTCACTCCCACACTTTGCTGGTATTACTGCCACTGGCTGCCAAAATTTAAAGAAAAAACGATGTGTGTGTGTGTGTGTGAGAGAGAGAATGACAGCAAAAAAGCTATTTACTAGAACAAAAGTGCTAGTTCAAACTCTGTGTATCAGAGAAGTTGTATACATTTCCCTTGTTAAGACTTATTTTGATTACATACACTTACTTCTAGTTGTACTTTAGTATGTAGCAGTATGGCTAAGTTGTTAATTGCCAAAAAGAAACAGTGATTTTTAAAAACTGAACTATTTAATGAGAAATGCAAGAATTCAACGTGACTGTGATTTTGCTACCTTTAAATATGCAGTCATGACTGCAAACTTGCACCCATTCTTCTAAAGTAAATTCCCTAGAATTTTCTTATGAATAGACAATTTATAGGATTACATTTAGTTATCTTGGGAGGGAAAACGTTGGATTGTTATGTTTCATAAAAGGAAACGTTTGCACCACCTTCTCTCCCCGTGCCCCATCCATGCCATAATATTCAGGAGTCAGATGATTTTCAGATGATTTTCTGCAGACACACTGGGTTTTATTAGGAGGAGGGCTGGGAAACTCTTTTGCTAAACTTTCTTAGTTTAATTTAAGTTAAATACAATGCAAAATACAACCATTACATACCAGGAAACGGTACATTAGCGGCAGAGGTTTCTGCTCCTTCAGTGGGAATCCCCAAGGTCTGAAGAGTATATTCTGCTGCATATGTTTTGGCTTCATCTACGTAGGCACTTAGCTTTGGTGGTGTGAAGGGGTGCCTGTAAATAAGCAGTAAATATTAATTTCTTTGATTTTCCCAAGGTTAGTACTTTTGGGAATGTTCCTTGCATTCCACATCTGGCTGAATCACTGACCAGCTTAAAATAATTCAGCTGGGTAAAAACATAATGAAATGAGGGAGGGTTAGCACAATCCGTCTTGAAGAATGGCCTTATTACAAGTGAATAAACACCACTGGAAAATGGGAGGAAGCACATGTGCATAAATTGTAAGTTGTAACCTGTGCATTAAATCATATACAAGAGATGACAGGCATTAGATTAGAGAGCAAGGACAGATTTGAAAATCCTTCCACATCTGCTTCGTCCAAAAAATGCAAGGGGACCAGCTGAGGTATGTTTATCAGGCATAGCTTTCTCCACTCTTGGAGGCACATGCTGAAAGCCAAGATTTCATAGCAAGTCCTTCAAACTACAGGTTCCAGTGCAACATACTAGTTGGAAAGTAAGGGAATGACAGGTAGAATATAACTAGAAAGAAAGGGGATTCGGTAGCCCTATTTTTATTTATTTATTTAAATGGATTAGCCGTCCAACTCCAATGGACCTTTAGGGAGCCTTCTAGATTCAAGTGTCACAATTAAATACCCCACCCAAAAGGGTGTGCTAGTGACATCATTGGAGGAGATGAGACCCACTTGAGGTTTTTGGAAGTCATTTTGAGCGAAATGGGTGTGCTAAAGCTACTGGAGGCATAATACATATGTTAATTGAACTGAAGTTAACTGAAAAATAAAACCCCACCATTTTACAGTGGAATTTCAGTGGTGCTACACTGGGGCAACAAAAATGAAGTTGCAAGCCACCTGGAGTTTGGGGTTGCCCACCACTGCTTTTACATGTTGACTGAGTTCTCCTATGCAGGTTCATAGCTGCAAAATCAGCAGTGAGATGTTTCTACCTAATAAGTCAAAGCACAGTGTTTTTCAATAGAAGCAGCCATGAGATTCTTTGGTAAATAATTCCATGTCACCTAGACTGGATTGAGTCAGCACTGTGCTTTGACGTGAATTTTGCTGTAGAAGAGGGCACAACTTGAAAATTACATATTGCAACTTGGTTTTGCTTTTCAGGTTAAGGGTTAAAGGCCAGGAGGTATTACACCGAAGTGACTCCATCTGACTTCAGAAACTAAGCATGTTCAGGACTGATTAGTATTTGGAGGAGAGACTGTCAGGGAATACCAGGATTGTAAGCTAGGCCAGGAAACTGAAAATTATCCTGGAAGAAGGCAATTCCAAACCATTTCAGTACTGTTGCCATGAAAATGACAGACATGTCCATGACATCCCCAGGAACTTGAATCCTCAAGTTAAAAAAAACTGCATTTTATCAAATTAGAAAACTCTGGATAAAAATAACATAAAGCACTTATACATGAGGTTTTTGGAAGTACATATAAGTACATATACATATAAGAGATAATTGATTAACATCACTCTTTTTAAAATAAAGAGTCAAAGTCTCCCTCCCTCCCTCCCT